GGGGATCAGCGCGGTTACTCAAAGATACGGTCTTTATTCTGAGGTCGTACTCATTTGCTGACATGCGGGTAGCCTGCGTGGTCAGATGAAAGTGCACGTGCACTGAGCTTTGTGCACAGCCTCTGATGATGTCATTCACATCTCTCATACATTAGTCATTCAAGCAGAACCCTACGTTAAGTTTCCATGTCTGAAAACTAAAGCCTTTAAACCTGCATTCTGTCTTTTGGCCAGCAGGGGGCGACTCCTCTGACTGTGCATATAAGTTAACTTAAGTACCGGATTATAAAGCGCATTAATCGAAACAAAACAGTCAGATAAGTCAAACTTTACTCAACTCGTTCTTCTTGCTTCCTCCACTTCTGTACCATTGATTCATTAATGTTGAATTCTCTCACAGCTGCTCTATTCCCATGTTGTTGCAGTATATTAATGACTAACCTCGTATTGTGGATGGATTATCTCCTCACTGAAGTTGGCGCCTGACTACGGTAGCCGCAATGCTCCAACAATCCATCAAGCGGTGCGGCTTCGTAGCTTACCAAAGTCGTACTAAAACATTTGACAGATTTTTGAGCGCCGTGTACCACATAAAATCGGTTCGAGGTCAGTGAGCACAACCAGAATTCATACATAAGGTCACCGGATTATAAGCCAAACTGTTGATTTTTGAGAAAATTAAAGGGGATCAGCACATTCCCTACTTCCAGTCAGAGGTCCTCAGTGCAGCCTGACATGTAAAGTATTTTCTTTAACGTGTTGATGTGTGGAAAACGGCAGCTGCGACTCTGCTGTCGGCCGTTGCCAAAAAGCAATTCTGTGTTCATGTGGGGATCCTCGGCACATGAACAGAAGGCTGCCCGGCTCGCACCGCGGACCCGTAATGTAACACGATGGCCCGTGACCACTTGTAAGCTTGGAAAACAAACCCTGTGCCGCCAACACCTGCTGTGGATTTCACATCACCTACATGCCAGCTTGCCCTGCATGTGCAGACCTTTAATTGGGAAATCCTTATTAGCAGCATTACTTTACTTGTTGAACGGCAGCGACGGGCAGATATGAGCCAGAGTACACTGCCTGATTCCAACCAGCCTCTCTGCAGAGATTTGTTCTGTATATTAAATGTGTCGTGGACGTCAAGTGGTTTCCTTTCTTTCACACAGACATGTTAACCTCCACAGCTTCCTCTTTGTTGTCACTCCTCATCATCTTCCTGTCTCTGTACGATTGTAAATGCTCCTTTGTCTCACTAAGACGGGGCTGTGGGGGTTTCCTCTGCTGCTCTTACTCCAACCATTAGGGAAGAATAGGCTGTGGGGGGGTTGGACAACAGGAGCCCATCCTGAGCGGTCAGTGATGGGACAGCTATTTTCATAAGTCAGAAGCACGGCCCATAATGTCAGGTGTGGTCCCTGGGAGTACTTACCTCAGCTGTTTGTGTGTATGCATGCTTGTGTAGTCACAACGCCACGTTTAAGTACACGGCCACTGTTGTAAAATGGATCCATGGGCAGTGATTCACACGGCATGGGGCTGTCCACACACACTCACAAAGCCTCAGCATGGCTGGGTGGAAGGGCATCTGTGCACCATTCTCATTAAAAGCAAACACGCACCCAGATAGAGGAACGGCACAATTTATAGTGCCGAGTGTGAAAGCAGATCAAACACAGCCGATAACCAAAATTATGATCGCCGCTCGTCTTACCTCGCGCTCCTGATAGTGTTTTAATCTTTGTGCGGCTCTCGCTCTGGCTAACAGTTCATCTGTCCTTTAAAGGTGAAGCAGCGCACTGTTCACACTCGTTTTCACATAATGCGTCTCTCCATCATTCTCTCTGTCATGTTTTCACGGCTCAGTTTAATAAAAAAAAGCACACACAAACACACCAATGAAGCCTTTTTAATAGCTTGTCCTCTTGTTGATCCATCGTCGTGGCAACCCATTTAAACGTAAAATGACCAGCACGAGGAGCGAGCTATGCAAACAGCTTTTCCTGTAAGTGGATGGATTTGATAGAGTTTAAGGAGCAAAGACCTTTGCGTGGCTACAAACGTCAAACGGACCCACAGACTCGTGTTTATCATTGTAGTGCATGTGAATATAGCCGCCACTCATAGTGATGAAGGTGAAATAATAGAAATGTTCGATTAAATTTTGGTGATTTTGTTTTTTTTATCTCACTACCTGTTAAATCCTCCGTGCTCTGAGGATGCGCTTGCTCCTTATTTTTATGGGAAATCGAATTCCTCACCCAGAAACCATCTTTGCATACATTTGCATATTTTTGTCAGGTTCCATAAAACGTCTCACACCGTTGTGGGTGGTCCTGGTCTCCCCACCCTATCTGAGAAATGCTGCAGTATAACATCCATCCTCTGCTCTAAATTAATTTGGACATTTGCTCTGTTCTGTGCCGAGCGTGAGAAATCACAAATAACAAAAGGACGCGGCGAAATCAGCCGAATAAAAACATTTTAGCTGCGGCGGAAAAACTGAAAAGTTGCCAAACCACGAGC